GTTTCTGTACAGTATTTGTAAGCAGGAGCCAAAGCACCAAAGCTGCAATAAGTTTGCACAGATAAGAAATGTTTTCCTGAATCTTCCAGTACGGTTCGTTTCTGGATGTGTTGGAACAATGTGGGGGTTTTTATGTGTGTGTTAACAACAAACTGATATCAAATGACAGCAGAGCGAAGGGTGTTAGTGACACAGAGAACAATTTCAAGCCATTTTACAACCAGTAATTGCTACTGAGGATGCAATTGCTCCACCACAGAGGATTTGTTTTTAGCTCTGCAACCAGTGTGGCTCTATGGATGGTAATGTTGATCCTGACAAAATATGTCAACGTCTATTAGAAGACTTTTCATCTAGTGCCTCCAGCAGGTTAACATTTTCACTTAATGAGTGAAATGTCTCAATGTCTACTAAAATGGAATGGCACTAAAATTTTGTCCAGACATCCGTTGTCCCAGAGGATGACCTGTGACACGTTGTGATCCCCTGACTTTTCTATACAACACCATCATCAGGTGTCCAATTCTTTGGTTTTTGAACCTGTGAAACAAATAATTCTCCTCATTCTGATGGGTTCAGTGTGTTTAATGCTGATTTATAAATGCTAGCATGTTAACATGCTACAATAAAATGAACATGGTAAAAACACATGCTTAACATCAGCATGTTAGTGTTGTCATTATGAACATGTTAGCATGCTAATGTTAGCATTTGGCTAAAGGCACCACTGGTACGTAAGCGCGATTCACTGACTGTATGAAATACGAACGCCATGACAGCACTGAAAAGTGGCGCCACCACAAGTCGACCACCCCCTGGTGGCTGGTTGCAGTATAGGTCATAAATCCCGCCCCTTCCATGTTAGCAGATGGTATATGAGCCAAACTAAAACCTTAAAGTAAAAATCAGATACATTTTCCCCAGAGGTGGTTTCTGTAGTCTTTGGTGGATAAGTGCCATTTTTCTAGTAAGGCTGTTTTTAATGAGCTTTTTGATGATGTAAAATCGGGGGTATTTCAGATAACTGGCAGCCTGATACATCACTCAGCTACTCGAGTCGCTACTGCGCAGAATCTGGTTGCGAACTGCCAAGATGCCAGCTGCTGTATTTGAGATATTTTGGCTTTGCATAGTGGAGGGAAACAGTGATGTGTCGTCCATATTTATACAGTCATACACTTATGACTCATTTCACCAAAAACAAACATTTGAGTGTGCTGTAAAAGCATAGAAAGGCGCTATACAAGTATAAGACCATTTACCATTTAGATAATTATACTTAAACTCTTCACTATAATGTATATAAATACTTTTTTAAAAGCAGTTATTAGTAATTAGCAGTCAATTATAATTAGCAGTTACTAATTATCATCTAACAACCAAACATTCAGCTTGTTTTTAACCCTGATGTTTAGACATCTTTTGTGGTCTGTAAGTCACCAACTCAGTGGCTATGTTCTGGGACAAGTTCATCATACCTCTCTTACAGAGTAGCTGTTTTTTAAAATGACTTGTTATGATCTTTTGTCTCCCAAACTCTCAAACCAGATCAGAACATGAAATCCAAAAAAAAAAAAGAGCCACATGTGAATCTGTGTGATTTTGTTTATAAGCCCTGCTTCACTCTCTGAAGAAGCAAATGCAAGAACACTACAAAACTAACTTTACCATATTATTAAAGAAAACAATGCGGACACACAGAGAGGATCGGTGTGGATGTGTTCTGTCAGTAATGATACCCAGAGAGGGGAACGCTGCACATTTTTGAAAAAGGAAAAGGGCTGAGCTGGAGGAGGACGGACAGACAGCAAGGAAAAGGGCAAATCCATGCATCTTATCAGGAGCATACACAACTTCCTGTGTGACGCTATTTATATGAAATAAGGCAGGTTTATAAGCACAGGAGAGTCGTGATCATGCCGGTGTGACCACAGCAGCAATTACTTCAGCAGATTCTGGTCCGTCCGCTGCACACCACTCATTTGTTTATGAATCTATCAGCGCCTAGTTAAACACACACCCCTCCTGGGATGGAGCTTCTCCACCTCGCAGCTGTGTCAAAGCAAACGGAACCCTGCAACCTTTATCCATTCATTATTATTTATTTATATCAGTCAGTTATTTTCTATATGAATTGTTTTGTTTAGTGAAGAATTGTCCATCAGAGGCAGTGAGCTCAAATTTCTTATTTGGTCAAATTAGTTTACAACTAAGGAAACAGCTAGTAATTATAACTGAGAAGCTGCAAAGATGTCATTTTGGCATTTTTTCTTCAAAAATGACTCAGAACAATTAATTTTCAGGTGCTGAAATAGCGTCAACCAACTAATGGACTGATTGACCAGTAACGTTGAACACAAGTTTTTTTCAGTTAAATATTTCCACACCTCTAAACATTTTTCACAATAAACTATAACAAATCATTCATACTGTGCTGAAATGATGAACAAATAGGTTGATCCAATCAAATGTAAAAAAATTGGCAGCTTTTCTGTTTTATAATGCTGTAGAAAAAACATCCTTGGGTTCTAGACTGTTGGTCTAACCAAGAAAGCATTCTGAAGATCAGCCTGGACTCTGAATTTAATGGGAACATTGTTCAGCTGAAACAACTAGTTGGAATCATATCTGACATTTATGCCAGCACTTGCCAGTATCTCAATACAAGAATAAAATAAAAGCATTAAGCAACAGAAATCTATGAAAAGTCATGTTAGTTACAATCCTGCTCTCATGTTTTACACTAATGCCATAACCGCTGATGCTGAGTTACTTCATTTTACCTGCCACAAGCCAAATAGGTTGGAAAACAATACTTCAGATCGCCCTGAGGTGTGTTAGCTAACCCAGCCGATTAGGTAGCAATCTTCTTATCTCCCTCCACAGGAGTCCCTATATAACTTTCATCACCATTTAAGGAACTTGTGGTGCCTGTGTGGCTCATATACGTGAGCTCAGAGGAGAAACACTGCCACAAAAACAAAACTTGTGTTTGGCTAAGAACTGGAGTGATGTAGTCCAGAGCTCCAGATGAGGACTGTAATAAATTTCCACTTTGGATAATAACACTGAAGCCAAAGTGCGTCAAAAGAGACTGACCAAAACAGGGGGAGACTGACAGGGATAGCATTAGAGCTGAAGCATTATGTGATCGAATTGTCCTGCAGCGCATAAAAAACAAACAAACAAACAAACACTTGCCCTTTAGACAGGGACCAACTCTGCTCTGAGTTTGCTTCCAAACCACTAGTATTTATCAACACTGTCTCATATTTGTTCCGTCTCCTACAGTAAATATAAGATAAAGAAACCAACATAATTGCATCACTTCTTTAATCCAAGTCCCTACTGTTATACTGGAATGTTCTGAAGTGTTAGTTATTTGACCATACAGTCTGACTATTCTCTCAGAACTTGTATTTATTCATTCACAGTGTGTCAAGTCTCTCAAGACTCTCACATCAAACCGAACATCTAACTTGCAGCACAATATGTAATGCAATAAACAGATCGATAGACCAGCATTCCCTCACAATGCCAACATCATCACTTCAGTCTCATAATAACAGGCATCTCCACATCTCTCCCCGAGCAGCCTTCAGGCCCAGCCCCAAAAGCATGTCCCACATAAATCAAGCAAAATCCCGAGAGCATGCTGATCACCCCCCAACACTCATTCCCCCACCACTTGTCTCCTGGGCTGGCTCAGCCCTCAGGAACCCACACTCTGGAGCCCAGATCCTGCCAGTCAGACACAGCACGCTAAAAAGGTCCTGATTGGTGGGGAAAAGGGATGCCACAGTTGCATGTCACTTTGATTCAGTGCCTCCTGATTAATGTGTAAGATGCAAGAGGATGCAAGCTGTGAAATAAACAAATCAATATTTCTCAAGAGCTACAGTTCTGTTCACATGCCAGTATGCAGAGCGCTGCCTTGTATGTGTCGAACAAAAGGCTGCAATATCATGCTATACATAGCTCAATACTATTTGCACTACAGTCCGAGGATGTTGCTATTATTGCAACTTTGCCAAATGTGCCCACTCAGTTGTAAGCCTACTTGTTTTTGTGATCTAGTATCATACAATACAGATGGCAAAGCTGACAAGGCTACATAACATACACAGTTTACATAAGCCATCACTATTACTCACAGAGGGCTGCTACCATAATGCAAGCTTTTGTGGCATCACTACTTCCTGGTAGAATCAAACCTCCAATTGTTCCTCATCACAACACAGTCTACCCACCAACCTAAACCACTGGTTTGTACTGATTACTATATTGAACACGAGGCTGGGTTTTCAGCTTTATTGTAATTCTCTCTCTCTCTCTCTCTCTCTCTCTCTCTCTTCTAAAACGCTGTTCCTGTTCCTCTCTACTGCTTTGTTTCAGCCATAGCAGATACGACACTGAAGAAAAACCCAAGGTTCGACAAAACAAAAGCTGCAGGGATTAGAGAGGCAAGGGGGGGTTACTTAAGAACTTCCTGTTTCCAGAGTTGTGTGACAAATCCCAAAGTTGAATCCCTGTTGCATACAGCACACACAGGATTGCCACCAAAGTGCTCTGATGAGAGCAAAATCTCTTGACAGGAAAACAAGGGGATATAGAGTGCACGCTCAGATGAGAGGGCACGCTGTCTACCCGTGTAAAGAAAAGTGTTTAAAATTCAGCCTGATGAGTACAAACCAAAGGACATTCTAAATTAACTGATGTCAAGAGGAAAACAAAACAACATCTTTGTATCTGGTAGACTGCACATATTGTGTAGCTATTGTTTCTTGATGGTTTACTGCCATCAAACTTGCAACTTAAAAACTAAACATGTAAATCAATGGGATGCAAAAAACAGACAAAGAAATGTGCTCATTTATGACTCCTGAAAGCATTTCCAAACCTTGGGTGATCAGGTAATAGCCAATCATAAAACACCAAAAACCACATTAATGAAAAGCAGCTGCCCAACAATGATATAAAAAAAGGTGTTGCCGTCTTACCAGGTCTCGTCGTTTTTGAACTCAAGCTCTCCATATGTGTCTTCAAAGTCCTCTCCTCCTCCTTTGGCGAGTCCCTCCACGGTGCGATATGGCACAATGACTGTCCCCCTTGCTCCAGAAGTCCTCAGCACTTTCATTTCCATAATACCGATGCTCTCACTGATGTGCACCGAGTTGCTTTCAAAGGTGAAGATGCCTGAATGATCGTCATCCAGAATGGTCACAGTGGCCACGGTGGGGAATCCCAACATGGCCTTTGGGTACGGGAGACTGTTGGGGGAGAGCACCTCGTCCTCAGTCTCCAGCACTCTCAGATTACTGAGGCGCACAAAAAAGTGCTCATCCTCTTCAAAGATGTCATCGTCTATAATACCAATGCTTATTTCTTTGATCATCTCTCCTGGTTTGAACACTACTGTACCCTCTGTGAACTCGTAGTCGGCCCCAGCATTGGCCGAGCCATCCTCTGTCTTGTAATCCACATAGATGGTCTTGTTAATGTCGCCGCCCTTTCTGGTGATGGTCAGAATGACAGCACCACAGTTCTCGAGGCACTGATAGACAGCAGGTTCAAAAGCAATCCGAGACACGTACTCTTCCGGCTCCTCTATGTGCACCTCCTGCACACTGGTGTTCTTCTTCACCTGCTCTGCCACGTGTTTCTTCAAGATATTCCCAGCGCCTGTCATCATGCGTGTAGCTTGGATGCGATAGAAGGCACGGCTCTTTGGCTGATGTGAGAGAGCGTAGTAGTTGGCCATCTCAACTAGCTGATCCAACTCTTTCTCTGGGTGCTTTTGCTTTAGATCTTTCAAGATGCGGATCATGTCGCGCCGGGACTCGTCTACCTCTTTGCTCTCAATCAAACCGATAAGATTGCTGGCTGCACCTCCGTCCATGAAGTGAGAGTTGACCATTTTGCCGTCCATCTCAATCCCCTTGGAGCGTTCAGTCTCAGTCTCGATGATGATACCCCTGTGTTTGTCGGTGCGGTACTTCTTGTGCATGAACTTGTAGAAAAGCAGTCGTCTGTCTGCCACCCAGGCAAGGAGCACACATATAGGGAAGAAGGCCAGTGTGAGTAAACCCTCCCAGACCTGCACCACATTGGGAGAAAAGACAGCCAGGATCATGTAGAGCCAGATGTAGGCAAAGATGCTCCAGCCTGCAGTGACAAAGAACACTCTGAGGTGTTTGACCTTGCGTACCTCCCCTTCAGGAATGACAGACACACAGAGGCCAATGATGACAAACATATTAAAGGCTGCGCTGCCAACGATTGTGGACGGCCCAAGCTCACCAGATTTGAACTCATGTCCACAAACCTCAATTACAGAAAGCATAATTTCAGGGGTGGATGAGCCCAAGGCCATGAGGGTGAGGTTTGAAACCGTCTCATTCCACACCCGGATCGTGGTAGTGGTCGTTTCCCCATTGGGCCTTTTGATGACAATTTCCTTCTCCTGGGAGGTGATGACCTCAATGGCCGCCATGAAACGATCTGCAATGATAGACACTCCGAGAAACATGTAGATCAGGGCCACAAAATACACAATGACCCTAGCAATCTTGTCTCCCATGGAGGGATCCTCCGGATACCAGATGGGTAGGATGATCCCCGCATAACACTTCGAGTTCCCCTCACAGGTTGCATTGCTGTGGCTGAGCAGAGGGCTCGGAGTGGTCCGGGCCTCTGAACAAAGGAAGGCCACAGCCACAGAGACTAGCCCCAACCAGAGGGAGGCTGACGACCCTGTCTTTACAGGCCTGGAACCCTCCATGCACCCTCCTTCGTCTCAAGGGTCCTTAGCACACTGATGGTCCCTCTGAGATCCAGCACTGGGCTGTGCTTTCTCTCCACCCACCACCTAAAAACACCAGACAGAAACAAAAGATTATATGGATGTTCTATTTCTGTTACAAGAAAACAAAGAGGTTAGCTTCATGTGATAAAACCAACTTAGACAGGGACCCATGTTTCTTTACATCTTCTCGTTAGATAAATGCATCCTAAATATTTATGGTTCTTAATAAATGCATTGCATATTAAAACTGAATACAACTAATTCAATTTTAGTCACATAACTCAATAATTCATGGAACCACATACAGTAATGCAATGTTTATCCAACCTTAGGCTATTTCCACATTATTTTAAATCCCAGGTTTGTGAAGTAGTAATAGACCGTGTTTTCATTTCACAGAGAAACAGAAAAGTGTCTGAAGCAAAAGAGATATTTCTCAATTTTATATGAGTGCAAGAATTTAAATTATCCCACTATCCATCTGTACGACTTCAGTGAGTTTCTGCCTATTACTTTACAAACAGCACAGTCATGGGACCTTTATGTTATCTAAGAGAGGCGTGCGGGCTGGAGACTACTTCCCCATGCTCAGAAATTCATGAGATTTTCAGGACTGTAAACCACTATGTGAACAATGTAGATAACATTAGTTTAATAAAATCATTGCCTGTGGGCTCATTTCCAGTCACAGTTTATTTGCAGTTTAGATGCGGATACATGCACCCAATAATGTGGATGAGCATGATTGTCTGAATTCTCAGGGGTTATACACGGCTCTGAAACAAACAGCTCGCTCAGCAGGCATGCAGTGTTGCCAAACTAAGCAATGTCTGAAATGTTGCATTGGCAAAAAAAAAAAAAAAAAAAACAGCAGAGGGGAGGCAGGAGACCGTCAAAAGGCAAACTGAAACAAAGGATAAGGATGCAATGTCCAAATTCATTTTATACTCAACCCTAAATGCACACTTACCACTTCCACAAGAGAGAGCAGGGTTACAATGCAGGCATTGTCTGAATTCATAAAAGCATCTTGTGCAGCTCTTCAGCTCTTATGAGATAGGACTTGACAATTCTTTTGATGCTAACAGCTGAGCCCAGAAGCAATGGGACCATAAAGAACATTTAACCACCCCAAACTTATAAGATGTACCACGGGGGATTTATCATAAAGGCTTGGTACCTGTGATCCTTTAGAGGTTCAGGGGGTAGGGTGGGGCCACTCAGCAGGCTTCCTTGCACCTTTGGGTCTGTGAGGCCCACAGGCAGTTTAGTCAAAATTAAAATGATGCCTTCCGAGAGATAGACAGTGCAAATTAATCACTCTGTCCTGAATTCACTGGAGGATTTTATTTTATTTTTTTATTATTACTATCACACTTGCTTCCCCTTTGCTTTCGTTGAGCTAAATGTAGTTTAGGCTTTTTGTACCTAAGAGTGAATTCTTGTGTTCTGACTCCTGGTTAAAGGGTTGATTACCTCTGGGGCCGCCTGCACTCAAATGTGTACAGTACACACTCACGGCACTTTAATGCACTTTGGATAAAAGCATCCATTAAATGGCAAATGTTATGCTGTGTAATGCAGATTTCTCATTTGATGCAACTCTTATGCAGTACAACAGATCTGAAGAATTTTAAGTAACTAACCTGAGCTCTCTGGTGAGATTTCTGGATACGATAAATGTCACCCAGACGGACCACTGGCCTGTTTGGATAGCTGATACTGTACATTTTTCAACTGAGGTGTGGATGGTCAAATGGGAGCAGGCATATTTGAAGCACTCACCTCTATTTAAAAACCAAATACTGTATCTGGAATCTTGGTATCAACACATCTCTGTCTGCAAAAAAAGGGCAAACATTCTATCTACATCTTGTGCTGTGTGCAAACTCAGGCTTTATTAAAACCAATTAATCTATTCTGGAATCAATTATTCCTAATATTTCTAATTTAATGGATCATAGATATAAATAACTGCAAAACTGCTGGTGTTATGTCTTCTAGAGAGATCCTAACCTCTGCAGCATTCAGAGAGATAGGTCTTTCCTGAAATGCTTTTTAGAGGCAATAAAACAAAAAATGGAGGCCATCTGAGCTTGAAATGAAATCCCTCAGATATTAAAAAGGATGTTGTTTGCAGAGCAGCACACTAAAGTGCAGGATAGAAAAGGGGGTGACAGCAAACAGCAGCAAAAGCTGGAGACAAGGAACTTAAATTTAACTGAATTAGCAGAGCTATTTACATGGACAGGAGCCAGCTACGCAATCCCTGTGAGAACCGACAGCACTGAGCGCAAACACAAACAACAGGAAAATACCTGAGTGACAAAGGTTTAACTTAAAGAGAGGGAGTTTAATCTGAAAACTAAGACTTTTGCACAGGTGTGAACTTTTGTCTCAGTCTGAAAGTTTAAGACAGAAACTCATCTATAAGAATAAACTTCAGGAATGAAGACCACCCCTGTCTTACTCAAATTCCAGCCATAAATAACTTTAATTTAAAACTACAAAACAAATCCACCCCTGACAGCAAGGACAAAATGATACTGAAGCCACTTGGAGACTAAAAGAAGCGTTCCTCCCTGCTTCAGAACCAGAGCAGCTGACCTGATAGCTTCTCTTGGTTTTTTATTGCATGGTGGCTGGCCAGGAACTGCAATGAGGCAGAACCAGACGAAGCATCCAGGATTTAAAGGTTAAACGAGAGTCTCTCAGTATGCGACAACCTGGGGACAGAAATGATTAAATGACTGGTCTTTTAATTGGTGGGTGATGTACTAGAGGAAGGGAAGCCTGAATCTACAGCGCAGATCAAAACCAACTTGTACGTTTCAGATTTATTATGTCAACATTGTGGTGGGATGACATTTCTGTTTTTAGACTAGTCAATTAAAATTGAAAGGCAACATTAAACCTGCAATTTTAAGTTGGCAAAGAACTTCTGAGATATATACAGTATACATCTAGCATGTACAGGGCAGCATTAGCCTAAATTTGGCATTGTGTTTGGGTCCACCTGACAAATGTCAAATCGAGTATAAAGTGTCCTTTTAGTTCCCAAGAAAAATATCTGGCTCCTAAGCTGCTAAACTGTAAATTATGTTCACCAGCTCACTACATGTATCAGTCTGTTTGGTGCCGGGCAGTGAGAATATAGGTCGGCTGCAGCCATAAAAAATATTAATTATATAGTTTGACATTCACTGTGCACAACATCTGTGGCATGTCTGTCCATCCTGGAAGAGAGATCCCTCTTCTGCTGCTCTTCCCGAGCTTTCTTACATTTTGTGTAGATTGTAAAGCCCCTTGTAGCAAATCTGTGATTTGCGATATTGGGCTATGCAAGTAAAAAAGAAAAAAAGACTTAAAATTCCCTCTGCTTGTGTAACACCTCGCTGTGGTTTCCTGTGCCTTAATGCAGACAGAGGGAGACTCCTGTGTCTCTGTGCATCAAAGTGTGTTATCAGAGTATGGATGGAAGGGAGTGATGAAAAAGAATAAAATGTGCTCAGTCAGCCTACTCTGGAAAAACAGCAGTAAAACAAAATGTCCAACAAGCCACATACACACTAATCCAAGAGCAAAATACCAGAGAATTTTAAAGATATAAAGCCACGCACTAACGCTGGACAGAGGGAGTCAATTGCCTGGTAACTACCTCCATTATTACTACTCCTGTTGCTACTCGTACGACGACTCCATCATCACAACTTCGACCAAGCTTCTTAGAACAACCACTATGGCCTGAAAGTACACAATACTGTTAAAAGGATGATACAGTAATTTAGTATTTCATACCAACAGCTTCCATAACATCCCTGTCTGAAAGAAATGGTGTTTATATATAGGAAAATGCTGCCTAGATTATTTTTATGATGGCCTTCAGGCACTTACAGGTTGGTTGAAGATTACACTCTTGGTTTAAAAGTAAAGCTTCAACAGTGACTTGAAGCACAAGAAACCAGTCTTTTCCTACCCAAAGTGCCTTTGTTGCCTGAACTCAATCACATGCAGGACTCAGGATGTGAACCCTTGTCTCCAGTGTCAGACCTTGTGTGTATCCATCAGTCATCTGACTCGTCCGTGTTATAAAAGTGTGCCACTTCTTTTGCTCAAAAATAAAAACATTACTGTGAACATAATACAGGCAGCGACTATGTTTCTCAAAGCAACATATTTGACATAAATTATACACGTTTTTGCTAGGAGACGTCATCCATAAAGTTGGGCCACGAGAAACAGATTACAAAAAAAAAAGAATGGTCAAAACCTGAAGCAGCACCGAACCACACACCCTGACAGCATCGATCTGCATGTTTATACTGTTCCTACATGACCTATACACTGACATCTGATCAAGTGGCCTTTGCATTGACATCTAGTCTTGATAGGCATCTCATTATGTTGATGTGGAACACAGCACATCCCAGATCCAGGAAAGCAAGGCCAGGGATGGGTGTTATTAAAAGGGCAACATTAAATAAAAGATATTAATTATTAAATCTCTTCTTGCAAGGGGAGAAATGCTAGTTCTTGCTACTTTGCATTTGTGCCAGGCAGCTTGAGACAGGAGGAGAAGGACGTTTTGATTTGCTGGGCATAGTTTGTGTTTTATATATTTTTTTTTAAGAATGAGATCAAGCTGTAGGTACTGCATTTACATAAGGGTCAATTCTGGTAACACTATAAACCAGATCACCTCCATTTGTGATCCAGTTGCACTCTGATCACTATTCATTCTTGGTGCATCATAACACATTTTCTTTACCCAGATATGACCGATGGAGGTAAATGGGGTCAAAAGCCAAATTCATAGTTAATGTAAGGGATTAAAAGGTAACTGTGTTCTGGTACAGAAGGACGGTAAGCTATAGGTGTATAAAGCTGAAATTCTATCCATTTAAATGATAACTTTATTAGTGTACCACCATGCAATCGCTACACTACTGAAAGTCTTCCTCTTGAATATCGTCTCCACTGTCAAGTTCCAAACTGGCATCAGAGATGCAGAACAAAACAACAATCACAGTTCTGGAAGTTGCACCGTAGCTCCACTGATGGTGTAGCCATGACCTGTACTTACATTTTTTCCCAAACAGTTTCCTCAAAGCCTGTACACCTACCCCTGTGGTTTACTCCCTTAACACTGAACTGTAACACCAGTTTTACTGAAGCTCCAAAGATGCTGCAATGTGCTGTACAGCTGCCATAATGCAACTCCATAATGTCTTTCACTAGACTGGTAAACGTCCACGTCTCATCCACTCCACAGTTGATAATACTGGCTTTTTGTTTCACTCTGAGATAACCCTAATGACGTCATGAGTGCTATTTTCTCCGACTTAAAAAAAAAATCATTATATAACTGTCTTCACAGGCTGAGTAGTACTTCTCATTATGAGTAAACTGATCTAAAATCAGTGCCCAGTGAACATGACAACAGTACTGGCAGTATAGCTATAGTATAGTAACATAAGGCTGAGGGAGTAAGAAATCACACAACCACAATCTAGAAAATAATGTAAAGCTCATTAAAATGGCCACATTAAACACTCCGACTGTCCAGGTGTGTGATCTCACAAGGATTGTATGTGAAATGTTGATTTTCTATCTCAATACAAATTGCATTGGGTGCTGATAGGTGTTGGTGAACGATTCCGTTTCTCCGCCCAAAACAATTTGCATGCTAATTACTATTTTAGGCATTGCATTTTGCATCATGAATTTAAGGCTGGACTGTCACTGAAGCTTAATCAACACTTCAGCAGCTACCAAAAGTTTTAAAATCAACCGCAAAGGCAAAGTCTCAAAAACTAAACAGAGTCATTCGATTTCAAATGAAAACCGGCTTTGACGTGTTCCAGCTCAATCCAACACTTCTGTCTATAGAAAATATAAAAAAGTTAAATTCTGTCATCTTTACTGAATCAAATATCACTAAACATTTGGCTTAACACCTCAATATCTGTAATCCAATGAGTGCTGAAGCGGTCATGTAGCATTTTGTGATCAACTTGGGAAAGCTTAGGCTTGTTTTTTATGTTATTGTGCAGAGATGATGATAGTTAGGGGTAGGCATAAAACATGTTTAGAATTTGATTTAAACAATGTAACTGAGAAAAATACCAACTGCAATATCTTATCTAGTTTTATATCAACATTAATACTACTGGTTATGAACGTACTGTATGTCCAGATAATAAAACAGAATAAAAGTGACAAAGGGGTTTGCAATCTTTAAGCTGAAACATCCAAATTCAAACATATATCTCAGCTCTTCTATGAATATTATTCCTGTTAAGGTGAAGCCTACAACAGCATTCAGGGGATATTAATACTTTTCATTTAAGTCCAGAGTGATTTGATTCCTTTAGGCTTACAAACTCTTATTAGAGGGAACTAATATAACCTTCAGCCAAATTAAAGGCAAACAAATGACAAATTGACCAAATGACTGATTAAACTGTCTTGAAGTAAACAAGGTACTGCAAGCCTTACAGAAGGAACCTCCAACATAAAGTCCTATAGGCAAATATCACAGGTTTCTTGGTCTTAGAGTTGAAATGATTAGCTGATTAATCAATCAAGAAAAAATTAGTCAGCAATGTTGATATTCAATGCCATTTTAAAAGCTTTTTTTTTAAACAAAAATCCCTCAAATTCTCCAGTTCCAGCTTGGAAAGTACATTTCCCTGTCTATGTTCTATTATAAACATATTTAGCATGATTTGATTGGAGTTGGACTGTTAACCAAAACACAGTGTCTCAGTATGTCAGCAGTGGGAAATCGTGATGGGCAGTTTTTAGAAATTTCTATTTCCGGTCCAAACAACTGATTCATTGACAAAATAATCGACAGTTACAGCCCTAATGGCTCCAGCTCTCCATGACGTACAAGCTTGGATTTTACTGTATACTGTATTAAGACTTGATTTGGTGCACCTTTGGGTGATCACCATACCCACCCTTCACATTTCCTGGTGCGGAGACAGTTACAGAGAGGAGAGAGTGGAGGGGAGAGTGGCGTCTCTGCTCCCAGATCTCTTTCCCGTTCCCTATTTTGGGGTGAGGGTCTTGTTTATGGAGGATATCTGAGATGTGCGTAAACATGGACTCAGCAGACACAAGGAGTCTCAGCTGTTGCTGATTAATCATCATAAGGCCCTTTTGCTCACTATAGATGTCAGTGGTATCTGAGGGGGGAATCCCTGCTGGAGCACCCATAGGCCCGCACTACAACTTATATAGGGGTACATGGGTCTGCGTGTCTAGATGCTTTTTTGTCTTTTCTGAAATGAATATCCATAACTGACCTCGGAAAGCACTCTTTCGTGGCCTGCCATAATAAAAGCTAAAGATTCCTACATAAAAACTAGAAATCCAGGTGTTCGGTCAACGAGCAGCAGGACGGGCTGGGCCGGCTCCAGCAGCCGGTATCTGTTACTTGCACTGACAGACGCCCATTATTTTAATGGCACACCCATTAGACGGTATCACGAATCCATTTCAGCCCGTTGCAATTGATCATATCTGCCCAATAATGAGGAGCAATAGGAGTAGATGGAGAGGTTAAAGCCTCAGCAGAATGAGGCGCCCCGGAGTGATGGACCTCATCCAGCTCACACAAGCTTTCGACTGGATTTGTAGCTACATGGATCTTAAAATGCATCAAATGTGGTTAATGCAATCTGTCACATATTTAATTAACAGGCCTACCTGTTTTGTCACCGATGGGACTGTAGGTCGCATCACTCATTAACATTCAGTTGATTTAATATCTGAGAGTTTGCATCATCTGTTTATTACACATACCTGGATTTGTATTCCGGGGAGTTTGTGTAGAAACTGCGAAATAGCTCCTGTCCGCCTCCTTTATTACGGTTTTGCTGCTCAGATCAACCTGCCAACAGTCTCTAAATAATCTCGCTGATTGGATCTCGAGTCAAACGTGCTCCAAATCCCCCGGTGAAGCCGCCGTGTCGTCCTCATGCACGGAGAAGCAGGTCCCCAGCCTGCTCGGTATTGGCGATTGGATCAAATCGGCCAGAGGTGATCGCCTTTCGTCCTCTCTGCCTTGGCGCCCTCCTCCCCAGATCCTCCTTCTCTGACGGGGTCGCAAAGCTGTCAGTGACGAGGGAGGAGGAGGAGGGGGGCTCGATATTTTAAGGTTTCACCCTCAGCAGAGATGGATCTTCTGAGCCAGCCCGCACGGCTCTCCCTCCTCCTGCAAGCCGTGAATCAGCGCTCTTCTCCTCCTCCTCCTCCTCCTCCTCTCTCCACTGCGATATGATGTGGCTCCTGTAGATGGACGCCGCCGTTAAGCTCCTGTTTGCCGGTTGTCTCCTCTACGGAAACGGCACACCGCAATTAAAAATGAACACAGTCTTACATTATCAGCCGTGCATACCCCCTTTACTTTCCCAGGACTGGCTGACGGACTTGGCGCACCATCGGAATGAGTGTCTGTCTCTGCGCTGGCTGCCAGCCACCCAGTCTCTGGAGCTGTCGGCGAAGGCCGGAGACGATCTTTATCAATGAATCGTCATCCTCAGATAATTACTATTAATATTAGGCCTCCCCTCACGCGACAGAGGTGTGAAATGGTTGCGCCCTACAGCCCCACGCCTCCCGTTTCTAAAAGCCACAGGCTCGGTTAGGCGCGCAACTACGTCACTATCAGCTGAGAGAAGAAACCTGCAACACAAACCATGACCATCATCTAGACACTCAACCCACAATGACAAGTGATCGCGATGGAGGGAGGGGAGTAAAACAGTATGATTAAGGAAGCACTTATTCTGCCTCTAGAAACTCTGTCTGTAGGTCTGATGCTGCTAATTCAAGAAAAGTGTCAACAGGAAGATGATCACTAATATTTTGGCCACATGCCACAAATACCACAGGCTGACAACGCATGTATAAATGCAGAGGTTTTAAATATTCAGACTTGTTAATATCCATGGAAAATGCACCAGATTCTCCATATGCGTCTACACGACTGCGTTGATGCACAGCAGGCAGGATTGTAGACATATGTACAAAGGATTGGTTTTACTTTATTGTGTATTGATGCGGTTTTCTACTTTATAGCTTGTGTATATCTTAGTTAACTGGTTGCTTGTTCATTTGTACAGTAGCCGTGTTTCGCTGTGGAATTAATAAAGTGAAGTACTTTATCAAATCACATAAGGCTAAATGTAAGGTCTACTGAGAGAGCTTTTCATGTCAAACTCGTGGAAGTAACAAAAAGATGCATCTTAATGGACTAATATTCTGTCATTAAGTGTGGATGTGCTACACAGACGGAATATTAGGAGAAACTGTGCGCAACAGTCTGTGGCCACATATGAAAGGTTATATTTATCAACACTAGGTGTTATTTCTTTGATTAAGGACTCGAATATCAATTCATATAATTGTTTGAGTTAACCGTCTTCTAGTGGGAGATATTTAGAAATCAGTCAGGTATCGATGTTCCCGTCTATCTCGCCAAGAAAACACAAGCGCACTTCCCAAAATCTTAAACTAAACTTGTGTCGCTTCTTGTAGTTGTGTTGCACAAGCCAGTGATCCTACCTCGCCACTGGATGCCAGCAGATAATGAGCTTCACTGGGCACACGGTCCTTGATGCAACACAATCAGCCCCATAACCACTGCTGATGAGACAGACAAAGCCTCAGACAGGAGAGCAGGAGGATGTTGACACCGCCACCACCTCTAATTATAGCATCATACAGGCCTGAAGCATCATTATGAAGGACCCTAAACTGTTCCAGGGAAAGGCAAACTATGTGAAATTAATACAAGTATTTAAATGTCTTAAATCAATTAGCTATGAATCAATAATGAATTATGGTTAATCCACCCAGAAACAACGTGGAGAGACATAAAGCTGTCCTCTTATTGCAGTCTCTTTCTTTAGGGATGGAGCCTATATGCAGAGCAGGAACAAATCTATTGGATTCAAATTTAATTACAAAGTCAGACAGTGTGGTACAGAAACTTATTAGCCTGCTCAGATTTCAGATTTTCTGGTGAAAAAGAGTGGAGGGAGAGAGGTGTCATCAGGAGAGTTAAACCCTCACAATACGTTTGGGTCTGCCGAGTCTGTCCAGCTTCCTCCCCCGCCATCGGATCCAGGAACAAATCTATTGGATTCAAATTTAATTACAAAGTCAGACAGTGTGGTACAGAAACTTATTAGCCTGCTCAGATTTCAGATTTTCTGGTGAAAAAGAGTGGAGGGAGAGAGGTGTCATCAGGAGAGTTAACACCGACACCCCCCGGGGTGCCGTCCACTTACATCAGCGATGAACAGTGAAGTTGTGAAATCAGGAAGGTAGAGTCACCTCACATCAGGATCTGAAGACCTAAAAGCTGGAGGGCCACTTCCTGTCACCAGTCACAGTGTGTGGAGGAGGGTGGTGTGATGGTGGGATCAGACACGGTGTAAAGCACCAGGCCACTGGAGGGCTCAGCCACTAACCTGAATCAAAATATGGCCAGTATAACTGAATTATACAAGAAATTCTCACTTGCCACGACAGCTGTCTGGCCATGCAAATAGTGCTGGATGTATTTGCCAAGTTTTTGAGAAATGTCTTAGACATTTCTGCCTTTACCCCAGCGGGATGCATATGGATCAAATTTTCTATGTCTTATTCACAACTCTGAAGAATGAAACTGAAGAACTTCAAAAGCAATAATCCCTTTCCAGAAGGTGTTCTAGTTACTCTGGGACAACAGTCGCCAGATAGGACTTGTCTACTGTGGGGACCCACCAACCCATAAAAGAACCTCTGTCCCAGGTTCTGCTTTTGTTTCCACTGCCCCCTGCTTGTTGTGGAGATGAGTGCCTGAACAAAATTTTTGCCCCCCTCACGAGGCAGGAGTCTGGGGGCAACTGTGGTTCAATGGGTGGAGCAGTCGTCTCCCAACTGGAGGGTCGGAGGTTCAAATCTCGGTGCCTGCAGTCCACATGTCTAAGTGTTCTTGGGCAAGACACTGAACCCCCAACTTGCCCCCGATGGCGCCACAGATGGCTGCCTCAGTTCTGTACCGGAAACAAATTCCTTGTGTGTAACATACTTGGCCAAAATAAAGGTGATTAAATTAAGTTCCAGGAACAGGCGGGTACTCACAGAGCTGTCGCTCATGATTGGCTAATGCCTTCATCGTGTCTCAAGTACTCGCATTACAAGTATGGTGTGTGAACATACACTCATACGAGACTACAGCGTTCTACTTGTTCAGCAGCTGTTTCATAAACTGCTCATACATTCCCTGTTAGTGGCAGATTTTGTTCCACACATGACAAACAAGCATCAGGGGTCACCCATGCTCTCTGCTCAGCTGTTTATATTCATCAGTCTCACCCTTGTGTAAACGGTGACCAACACAGGGAAAAATGCAGTGGAAATAGAAGCAGGGTTCCATTGGATTATGGGCATGGGAAGCTTCAGGTTATGGATTAAGTTCTGTGATGTAAAAGCACTAAAAATCTTATGCTTGTGACCCCTTTATTCACAGCTGTCTATACTCGACCCCTGTCACAGCTTGTACGTCTACAAGTTGTGAGCAGTTCAATAAAAAGACCAGTCTTCTCCTATCATGTCAGTTAATCTGCAGAAAACCTTTTCAAGGTTTTAAAAGATAAAACTGTAAAGCCAAAACAGATTTACTTAATTCTGGATGCAAATCATTGCAATTAATTTCTTCTCAGCCTGAAAATCTCAAAACCTGGAAGGAATAAAACCAAAACAAATGAAACTATAGCAGCTAATCATATAAGCAGTGGGGTCAGGATTTCCTAAGGGGCTTGGATATAAACCTAAAGGCATCATAAGATTATTACAAAAAGAAAATACTTTCATACGCGCAAAATTGTTTATTCTTCCTTCTAATCAAGCCCCTAGAGAAGGAGAATCACACACCTAGTCTACACTACTAACAAAAGGAAGGCTCACAAGCAGATATTGCTTCATTTTGAGGGGTCAAAAGCCAAAAGGGCTGTGAACCACTGCACTAGAACATCAGCTCTCAGACCTGCGTGCACTGCCTTGATAAGTTGCTATGTACATAACCATATTCTTTATATAAGGCTACATAACCTTGACTCTTCTGCACTAATAACTTCTCCTCAAACAAAACCCTGATAGTCCATAAATATACAGAGTGCAATGTAGATAGAGGGGAGCCCTATGCTATGCTTGCACACAGTTTGTATGCAGCTCAAATAATATCCATAGAGACCAGCTTTTGTCCTTTTATAGTATAGCTGTCTATGGAGAGTGCCCCCTCTGCAGCAGCAGCTATTAGAACTCAGCATTCAGTGGTTAATTGGTCTGGAAAATATTTGATGGGTGAGAGAGATACCCACACTGACTCACTTACATCACAGAGGCTGTGCAGACAAGATGAGTGTAGGACACTGGACTCCACACTCATCTCCCCCATGTCTTATTGTGCTGAGTGAAAGAAAAACAGAAGGAAGGGATGAAGGGAAGACAGCCAAAAGTGATTGAGAGGTCAGCTCTTATAAGGGTTTTAGCTTGTGTGCTGGCTGACACTGCTTGGCCCCCCACTGCCCAACAGCTACATCTCCATGGCAACGTGCAGCCCCTGGTCCTGGGGAGAGTGGAAGTGACGGCGGCGATCTGTGTGCATTCCTTTGTTCTGCGTGGACTATCCCTCAGCTGCCAAGCGTCTGTCTATTTATAGAAATGAAATGAGTGTGAGAGAGAGAGAGAGAATCTCCCTGCTCACTTGGCCTCCTCCCTCCATGTAGTACAAGTCTGGGTTTTTCTGTTGTTGCAGCTCACTATGACATTTCACTGAGGGTAGTAAAGGATGATGCTTTCACTGACCACAGCTTCAGTGGACTTAAATTACAACTTGGGACAAGGGACTGATAAAAAGTATTTTTATACACACACACACACACACATGCACACACAAACTATATATCTACTGCTAAAGGGGATTAATGTTACAAAATAATGTACAGTAATATATTAGTGCATTGTCACCCAACTAGACAAACACAGGAGGTTTACACAAGTATTAAACTGTGATGATACTTAAACACCCCCTCTACTTAAAAATGTTTTTATAAATTTGTATACCCTGTAAATATCTGACCAACACTACATTGACTGGTATATGTGCAGGCTTATCACTAACATGGTTAATTCAGTTTGCTGACCTGAAATGTGAGGTTCAAAACATACAAGTGCAAACTAAATTTGCCACTGGTCTCCAAAAAAACAGGACTGTGAGCAGGAGTGGGAGCCAAAGTTTTATTTTTACTTTATTTAATAATATGAGGTGAACGCAGCATTAAAGACCCGGTGGTAGCCTGGGTGCTAACAGTTAGCCTGCTGCTAATAACCCAACCTCCCGGTTTTTTGTTACCAGGCTTTAGATCAACTGAGAAAATAGAAATACTGACATACTATCAAATCTTAACCAGACCGTACACGAGCTTGGACCTCTTTTGTAGAGTTAATGCTACACTATGTGATAACAATGTAAAACCATGCCACCAGATACAAGCTAACAGCTAATATTATACAAAAACAACTCAGACATCTGTCAGTTGCTGATTTTGGTGAACAACAGACTAGTGATCAGAGTTGGTTGAGGCTCAAATATACGGCTAAATCACTTCCATTTTCCTCCTGCCATCAGATGCTAAATTTCTAATTTTATCAAGGTATTGTACAGGATAATGTCCAGGTGAAACTCAAGTAGAAGTTGGGTGATGCAGCAATACAATGACCCAAATGACCTCAAAGAAAACCCTCCTTTTGGAGTGGCCCAGACCCTAACCAAGAGAGATGCTGTGCAATATCTTCAAGAGAATCAATCACTCCAAACAACCTAAGAATCTGGCTGAACTACAAGAAGGAATGGTTAAAATTCCCCCTGAATGATGTGCTGGTGTGATCCATGGCTACCAAAAACACCTGTGTGAGGTTATTGCTGCTAAAGGAGGCTCAACCTCTTAATAATCAATCAACCAGGGAAACTCATCAGAAATGGACATTTTAGCAAAAAATAATTCTGCCATTTCTACTGTTTGGTTGTCAGCCTGGTTTGAGGATTTGCCAGGAAATCATTTTGTATTTCTCTCATGAAACTGTTTTTTTTTTTTTAGCCTTGTCCACTCTCTATGAAAAATGTCTTGTTGTCAGATAATGCCAGTGGTAATTAATCATAATCTGGAATGTGTGTGAATATGTTTGTGAAGAGGGCTTTTTCATTCATCAACAGCCAAATGGAGTGAGTGCCGACTGGTTCTTCTGCAGTTTTTCCACATGAAAGCTGTGATGATCTGGCTGCAGTTTAATATGATTCATGGAAAATCAACACCATAAAATCATAATTATTTTTATGGCCTCAGGTGTCACAGTGCTCAAATCTTCAACCAGCTACATGACTCATTTCTCGGATCGCAGTAGTTCTCTCATTTGTAGAATGACTTAATAAATAGCAAATTCAATTTTCTCTTTCTTAGACTTGTCCAATGAAAAGTTAATGGTGTTTTCACGCATTTTCAAAAAAATTAACAGTATGCAAAGGGGCTGCAGTTCTTCATACTGGGACTCCAAGTCACCACGCACCCTGACAGCTCGCACATGTTAGCAAGGCTCCTCCAGAGCGACCTGTTTGGTCCTCTCACAACTACACCCATCCTGTGCCTCCATAACGCAACTGTAATGTGCCACAATGCATCTGTTGCTTCAACACTCTCCTTCACTTCACTGGCAGTGCGCTCCATGGAAACGAGGAGAGGCAGTATGGATTAACCAGAGATTACGCATGGGTCACCAAACAGATATTCATCTGAATAAAAACCACAATGTGTATTTAAGGAGGACTTGGAGGAGAAAAAAAGAAACATTTAAAAATCTAAAAGAATACCTAGTTAAAAGCACAAATACTAAAGATAATATATCACTGTCTACAGAACTGAGTTCCATGGTAAAATCTGGCAAACATTGTAACCTTAAAGAAGAAGCTACACCCTAAAGAGTACGGACTGACTGAGTTATCGATCGTCAGAATTTCTTCTTTCCCAGTTAGAAACTGCAGTGTCATCTCTGTAGTTTTGATTTTCAGATATTGCTTTTTCTAATCAAAAGCAGCCCAGGGGCAGCCTGTGGCGCATCCAGACTAAGCGTGTGACTCACCTCTAAGATTACAGATGCACAAACACGTGGCCGCTCTAAATTTAGAGAGGCCTCTTTAGAAACACCACTTTTTTTTTTTTTTTCCTTTTTTTTTTAAATCAAGACAGAAACAGACAAGAAAACTTAGACATGATCTGCCAATGGTGATAAATTATCGATTGTTCTGCTTTGCCATTCAGACCTATTCAGAGGCAACTGCTACTTCCTGGCAGCTCTGCCTGACACTATAATCATTTTTGTAAAACCTGTGAATGAACAGAAGTCCTCACATACAAGCTGGTGTTTGTGTCCCATAAATATCGGAACCTAACAAACACTGGGTTTTAAGGTGCCTCACAAGCATAACAAAAAAAAATTTTGATTATAGAAAACATATCCCAGGACACTTTCATACAGACCTCAACACCTGCACAATATTCATTACATCTTATTTCACAGACTGAAAGAGATGAAGCAGCACCTACATTATCTGTCATTCACCAAACATTACTTATACATACCAATCTGAACACACTACAGCCAAAACCCATGTTCTTTGCTTCTGTAGGACAAAAAAAAAAAAAAAGCAAAAGGTAATACTATTTCCATTATAAACGTAATAAATCCACCGCATTGCAAAGTAATAACTGTCAGAGAAACATATTACTGTCGAAGCCTATAAAGCCTGAGGAAAGGCTGGACTGTTGCGCTATTTATTCTTTTATACCTTCAACTGGTAAATCAATGCGATACAGTTGTAAACAAAGACCCACCACATCTACAGGCTTTTGTCAAAAACAAAATGAAAGCAAAAGTAACAATTTGGATCAATAGTAGTAATTTATTGAGACATGGAAATCACACATTGATATATCTTTCCCTGCTTGGATTCTGTGTGAAAGGCTCCTGCAACAAGACACATGTGCCACCTACTGGTGGTTGTTGATCACAAACCCCTGATCAGAATGAAGAATAACCTGCCCACGGGGGACCACTCTATATTTCTGTTTGTACAACAATAAGAATCAAGAACTTCAAGGTTTTGATCTCATGTGGCACAACTGTAACCAGTAGTAGTCCAGAACAACCAGAAGACACCACAACAATGCATGCTTACAAAGCTTCAAGTCCAAGCCCTCAAGTTGCAGCGTCTGTCTTCGCCGCAGACTCCAACCATTCTTGTCAGCGCCATCCTGCTGCACTGCGTGTTACACTCTGCTGCGTCTGGTGTCCTCGAGCCTTAGCCTTTTGTGTCCTGCTTGGGCCTCTGCTGCTCCTGGTACGCCCTGGAGTCCTCCCAGGGACGAGGACCACGGATGTTCTTCCACTTGTCCAAATTCATCTCCTTTATCTTCTGCAGACAGAAGTTAATATATGAGGTTTAACTATCAGCATGTCAATGATTCATTGGTTTAAAATTCAAACCAGATAAGGATGAATAGATGAGTGTCTGACATGTACAAGGTTTCCAAGTGTCATGAGTGCAAATAAAATCTCCAGTGAACACAAAATATTTCAAAGTCATTTTATGAGTCTTTCCTCCGTTATGATGTACTTAAAAATGGCCAGATGTAGAAAATTCTGACCATCTGGTGCATAAAGCAGGTCAGAAGAGGCAGAAACGAACCTGCCAGGATGCTTCTTCAGAAGTGCTCATCAGATGCTCAAACAGCCTTGAACCCTGGATTAGGGAGGGTCTGTGTGAAACAGACATGCAAACCTACTTGACTCAAAATGTGCACCCTTATCCCCGTATTTGAATGACACCGTCTCTCCCTTCCAGTGCGGTTGTCCTTTTATAGGCCGTAATCAAACAGATCAACAGCAGAACCATCCTGTATTTGGGCATTAAGTTAACAGCACTGATGTCAAAGTGTCTATCTGCAGTGGTTTGTTGTTTAAACAACCTTAAGGCATATACTTAAACACTGGTACCAAAAAGATCTATGTTCCTTTAATTGAAGTTGCTAATAATCAACTGTCAACTAAGTAGAGACCAAATTCAGGTAAAAATGAACAATATGAAGTCATTTGTGCCGATAATCTCCATCTTCCATTCTATAAACATACTGTAGTGGTTCAAGTTACAAGTTAATGTGGGCTATGTAACAGAATACCATCAGAATGGGTAGATTACCCCAACAATACATTTATAGCTAGAGTACAAAGTTGCTTACATAACTCAAGCAGAACTTCAGCCTTGTGTGAATTGTTCATGTGTTTACTTTTAGGGTCATGTTTAAAAAGGGAAACACATAATAGACTAGCTGTTTCCTGTTTTTGGATAAGACAGGAAGCCAAGTTTGGGGATTGACGCGAGCGCCAAAAAACAAGCCGTGTGTGCATTCGAGAAAGAGACGAAAAGCAAGAACCCGGCCTGGAGGGGACTGACTGTACTGTATGGCCAACAATTCATTCTTTGACAATCCTCTTATCTAATACTTTTGTTTATTTCTGTGCAGACACGGTGATTCTGTTCTCTATCTTTCTGACTGTTGAATTATCTTGCAAATTATTGAATTGCTTTGAATTACTGTAATATTAAATAACCATCGAGATGATTTGCCTGAAAATTTAGTTCACATCAGACCTTAATCATCACCAAGTATTGATTATTCGTGTTAGGATGACATATAGTTGAATAAGAAGCATAAGAGTTGGATGCTATAAAGGCAGATACTGTCTCCAAACATCAGTGACCGCTCTGTCTCTCCTTACCTTGTACTCTTCCTCCAGCATGACTGACTGCTTCTCGACATTGACTTTGGCCGCCAGTGAAGGATCCAGCTAAACAAAGAGCAGAGGACAAATGTAATGAGATGGAGCTTTCTGAGCAGAAAGTCACCAATTTGCAACAACATGAAAATAAAACACATCAAGGACAAAAAGGCAAAGTTGGATGGGCTCCATTTGAGTTATGGATTTGGTGGGTAACAAAATTTAAAAAATTATTAGTTAGGAGAGAAATTAGAGAGTGAAGTAAGGTGAGAGGTTTATATGGTTGAAACTTTCAATTGAAGCGGTGAGAAGCCTCATTAGACGCCGTCTCCCCCTCCTGTTCTTCGCCTATTATTCCTTTAATGTATAAATAATGACATCTGCAGGGAGGTGAAGCAGTTTTCAAGTCAAATCCATAACCTTGTGTGGATGAAAACAGATACTTGAGACTTTTTCTCACCACTGCTTCTCTCAGACCTCGAGGGCGGATCCAACTCACCCTGTTTTCACTCTAAATTATTCTGCTTGATTTGGCAAAAACATCACCAGGTTTGGTAAAAATGAAGAATTTCTGTGTCAGAGGGAGAAAGAAACTTGTGCCCAATAGAGCGACTGGGGTTTTGCACTTCAAATTGATTTTACTCATGAATTGGAATGAAATGAATCCCATTCTGAATCATTACTTTTAATGAGTTCTAATATTTCATAGCAATAATGGCGCAGTTACTAGGGTGACTGATGAGCTTCATAATTCAGTGATTGATTTTTAATTAGACCTACATTACTACAGCAAATAAATAATGTATAGACTTTTTTGAAATCTTTTTAAGCCTAAGTAATTAATATAATAGTTAGTAGGGAAGTGTTATTAGCTTTTCTTCACCAGCCAGTAGCCTGAACCTCCCAAAACAAACAAACTGGGAGCATTCAGAGGTGATGAAAACTCAGAGAACCTGCTTAGGAAAGGCCTGAAAGTTCTTCTCTGGCTCCAGGCTAAAGTCAGTGACTAAAGAGACAATGCCAATTGGATCATACAATGGCTTACTTTCAGACAGTGGTTTTAATGAATTAAGGGCAAAAGAAAAAAAAAAAAAGCTGGAGAAGTGGTTTTAATCACATACATATTTACTTAATCCATGTATTTGTATTATATATCTGGATCTTTGCTCCACAAGCCTCATCAGAAGAGAG